GCGAGATTTTCTCTGCCTAGAGAAGAACATTCCCAGGCGGTGGGATGATTAGGCATAGCGATATCATGAGAGGGCATCTCGCCTTCAGATTCTGAAAACAATTGAGTACCTCCTTCCGAGTGATAAATACTGAATAACTTGTCTTGGATTGTGGTTCATTTTTTATTTTGCTATTGTAGATTTTTAAATGAGGATTCGACGATAAGGTTGGAGATTGAGAAAAGGAAAATATATCAAATACTAGCGGCCCCTAAGAGTGAGGGTGTGATAAAGAAGTTTTTTTCGAGTTTATGTGAGCAGCCAAATGAAGGCGATTGCCAGTGACTTCCCTGACTATTCGTGTGACTACGCAGGAATTGCATTAGGTCAGCCAAGAAGTAAAGCAACGTATTATTGCTAGGGCGCCCACACGACCTTATCGTTTCGATTTTGAAAACAACGAGGATGAAGAGAGAGCGATTGCTGAAGCAATTGCAAGAGAAGAAGAACTTATGCGACAGGAAGAAGCTGACAAAGGAGGACGGCCAGAGCCGGGAGCCAGAGATCGTACGTTCTGTTTTAGCTTTCTGCTCTTCTGAACATCGAGGATTACCTTTTGTTTCAGCAGCAGGTCGGCCTTATGACGAAGATCCTGAAGAACATGCACGAATGGTGCCGTCTCATTTCGGAATGGGCTTTTATCCTCAGCCTGCTATTCCCCGATACACATCCAACTTGGCTGTTCACAGGGACGACAGCCCTGACACCCGAGCTGTGAAGCAGGTATGAATAATTATTTCGCATCGTGATATAAAACTTGAGATTTTTGATCCAACTCTTCTGCAATTTTTACGGTTATGACTTGTTCCGGCAACTATCGTTTTCGCCTGACCCTGTGGTGCATTCGTTGTCTTAGAGGTGCTGAAAAATTGTGCATCCCGGGGATGAAAAATCCCCTGTAAAAGCCATCTGGGAAAAATGACTGCAGGGATTTGTGTGAGAGGTGAGGAAAGAGGGCAGCAGGATTAGAATGCTGATCAGGATGGGATTTGCACTCACGCGGGAAATCCTAACGGGTTAGCGGGCGACATGAACTGATGGCAGGGAATCGCTCTATTAGCTACTTCGACCTTTTTTTTCATACGCTCAACTTATTTTTCAGTACTCTATTCTGTTCCACTTCACTCTCTTCCTCCTAGCGTCTTACACCACCCCTACAGAGTCTATATCAATAGAGGAGCATGAGAGCTCGGAAACATCCTCCAGCAAGTAGATATGCAGAGGATCAACAATGCGATATTCTAAAGCTTTTTTTGGTTCTTCAGCTCAGGAGCAATAGCTTACATCCAAATCTCCCTCAACAGGCATACTTGAAGCCGGGCCCCGTACCTTTTCATTGAAAATTTCCGAGAGGTACAAGACCCGACATTGAGTTATGGCTGAGGCAATAGGGTTTGCTTTTGACTCAACACCTTCGTTATAAGTTTTGCAAATGATTAAGAAAAGAGGTTTCAGGTGCTCGAAACGATGGTAATGCAAGCTTGCCGCTGGGATAAGCAGTTTGGATGGTACAAAAACCTACTAATGAAGCCATCCAGGCCACATTTCGATAGATTCAAGTACATGCTTTCACATTTTCCATGTTTTTAATCCATTAGTAAGTCAAAGTAAGTCTTGAGTGATTTCTCTGCAGGCGTCGCATGTTCACAAATCAAAGAGAGACAGTCCTCGCTGAGCATATTGACAGGATTACGCAAGGAAATTAATAAAAGGAGAACACGATTGGAAAACAAAGCTGAGGAGATGTGTGGATTACCGACTCCGTGGAGGAAATCGCGTATGAAATCTCACATGAGAGGTGAATGTTTGAGCAACAAAGCAATGCTCTCTTTGAGTCAAAACTAGTCCTATTCAAATGTTTTGTTCTGATATTATGAATGAGGAGAGTTAAGAAATTCTAGGCTATCAAGGCTCATAGTTCCACTGAATTCAAGCGCCTCAGTTATCCAGGAATCTTATGTATTTTTGGTGAGGTTGGGTGGCCTGAGCAGAAAAGACATAGTTTCACTACTATTTATCATTACTTTTTTGTGCTACTATTGAGAAAGCTTGTTCGAAGATCAACCTTTGCGCTGCTAATGTGCTGATCTTTTAGGATTAGTTCAGTCCGCCACAGTAAACTTAGACTTCTGTAGTTTGCAAATTTATAGGAAAATTTCCGAAACTAAGGCATCCCCTTGGAGGGCTTATGTTCGATACGCGTTCTTTACCTGAAGACTAGTGGGTTTCAATCTGCAGCTGGAGGCGTGGTCTGGTCGATGACGCAACTGTCATGGTCAATAATAGGGAAGCCCCTGCGGTTTGGGAGATTCCTGAAAACAGGACATCCCCTGGACGGGTTCCCTTTACATAAATTCCTCCCCCTCTCTTCTACTGAATCCAACGCTCAATAGTATCCATGTGTTGTTAAGCTTCGTCAGGACAAGGCGTTTTACTTCTTCCTCGTGTGCTCTGCATGTTGGTAAGAAAAGCATGCCTAGCACACGAAGAAGAAGTAAGACTTGTCCTGACGAAGCTCAACAATCCGATCCCATCGCTGAAGGCACTACTGCTGAAAGACTTTAGGGAACCAGGGCTCGACGAGGAGGTCGTCGTCGCAGAAAGTCAAGCTCCCGTGGCCACAGCAGACGACGAGTTCCGGATCGCGACGCTCGAGAAGATCCCGCAGCCGATCGAGGTCTCGCCGCTCGAGATCAGCGAGTGGCTCCAGAAGACGTAGAAGAAGATTGAGGAGATCGCGCTCACGATCTGGAAGAAGCCGTAGCCGATCCCACAGAAGGTCCTCGAGAAAAACCGACATCACGAAAGTATCCATATGTCGTTGAAGCTGGCATCATTTGACACACTCCAACTTGAAACTTGAAACTCCACCTGTGCCAGCGAGCCACAGAGGCGAGGGCGGGGTTACATCTCATAGGATTTTCAACTCCTGTCTAGTTACGCTTTTTCAGAACAGAGGCGGATAATCACCATTGTCGGCGTCTTCCCGAAAAGGGGCGGAAGTGGTGTAGTGGCAAGTGGCACGCTTACCACGCGAGCGGTCCGGGGATCAAATCCTGGGTCGTGAGTCGCCCGGGCCAACCAAGCCTTCCATCCCTCCGGGGTCGGTTAATTGGTACCAGACTTGTCTGGGAGGATAAAAACACTGACTTGTACATCGGCTGGCCCCCAAGTCATTGTATAGGCCACATCGCATTCAAACGCCACTACGAATGTACAAATGGAAGTAGAATGCGTGCCGCATCCCAAAAAGGGATTGATCAACGGCAAATGCTTTATCCTTTATACACTTTTTCGGTAGGTAGGAAACATCTCTCACCCTGTCCTAAAAATAACGGCCCTCACCATCGTTCCCTTTTCTAAAAACCCATACAACCCATACTATGATCCTACATGGGCCTTTCATGGAACTTTTCCAATAAACAGTTGACCCTTCAACACCTCCCATAAAAAGACTTTAAATATCTCTATCACCTATTTACCCTTTCTGGTTACGATTCATTGCACCAAGAGAGGATACATTACCCGTCTAGTCTCGTCTAAGAGCACCTGCGAAAAAAAAACTAGGCTACTCTTTTATCTGACCTCATTCAATATTACAATACCTACAAAAATTGAGTTTCTAACTTTGTTTCATTGTCAGAAATAGCATAAATTTGGGTCTATTCCAGTTGGGGGGGGGGGGCATCATGATGCAGTTTCTCGGCGAGCTAAGTGTGAACTCGAACATTCCAGCTTTTCACGCATGTCAAGTGACTGCCCTCACCCCCCCCCCCCCCCCTAGGCTGGCTACACT